CCTGTCGATCCGGGATAAAGATAGGTCTCTCCTAATATCGAGGCCGACCGACGATATTGGCTTCAACCGTGGCGATCTGGCTGCGCGCGCCCGCGACAGAACACGACGAGTCAAAGTCTTTATAGGCCGTAGCGAAAACCACATCCACATGGACGTGAAAATCATTGTCGGCCGCGTGTCCGAAATTTCCGAAGTTCGCCGCTGCAGAGATACATGTCAGAGCTATTGGGTTATTTCGCGGTAAAGCATGGCGACGCGAGACACTTGCCAAACGAGGCTATCGGCGTGGTAACGTAACCGACACTTGCATAAACAACCTGCCTGCGGTGCGATCGATTTCTCAAAGGCTTATCGACACGTAGAATAAATGGGGTTTTCGTGTAATTCCCTCTACGCGAGCGGAGTCATTCCCAAATTGTATTACCACTTCTGGAATTACGCCGCGCCGCTGCAACCCGGCCGTCTGCGAGAGGCCGCGAAACATATATAATTACTCGCGATTTACACGTCCCTCTCATCCGGGCCGCATTCATCGCGGCGGAATATTAGACAAACGGCGGGCGTTATTGAACGAGCAAATAAAACAACACACACACACAGCCGGCAAAACGTATTATCGCGAATCGGACACCCGTTTTCTACGCGGAATCGCGAGGTTAATTTCAATCATCATCATTCCGCGCGCAAAATGAAGGAAGGTATACGTGATAAATAATTTCATCACCCGGCAAATGTATCAATGCGGGTCATATCAAACGATCTGTCGTTTGCGCGAAACTTCATACGCGCAACCGTGCTCTTTTCCAAAGCTAGTAGTTCCGCGCATAATTTGCACGATTGGTCTGCCCTTAAAGCACCTCCTCGGTAAAGCCTCCGTCATAATCGGCTTTGCCGATCAACAAGCTCATTGGACGGCGCCCGTTACTGAATACGTGTCAATCGATCTACGCCAGCACAAAATGCCGATCCGCGCGTGTACGGCTTTACTGATCATACGCCGATAAGCGGCGCGAGGAAAGAAGCGAAGCCGCGATCGCGCCTTAAAAACGCCAAAACAGATCGATCTTCTGGTCATTCTCAAATTTCAATTCCGTCAGTTGCAAGCACGCGGCACAACGTCGCTTAAAATTATCCCTCTATCCGGCTCTCGATCTATTCCAGTTTTAACGCGTCGTATCATTTATCATCCGGTTATTTATTAAGTCCCACCCACCCCCGGCTCTGTCTCTACACACTGAGTAACACTATACCCCTCGCTACAGTTAACTGTACGGGCACGCGACTTTAGAGCATACAGGAAGCACGGGAATTATACTTTTAGACGGTTACCCGGCTGCCAGCGGCGTATGCTGTGTGTGAGGCTTCTTCTACTTTAAAAATTCCCCGCACGGTTCAGTGACCACGTAGTGTGTGTGTGTGTGTGTGTGTACGAGAAATGTAGAAGCTACCCCCGATTCCCCAACGTCAACACTAGGGTTGCCGTTTCACGAGGTTGAAAAATCCGAAGATCGTAGCGGAAAGTAGGTCCGGCAGGGTACTCGCCGTCTGGCTGAATTTTAAAATCATACACCGGGGTCGGGCGTCCAGCGCGCGTCGTTTGGAAATTCGTCGATTTTCTTCGGGAAATGACACGTTCAAGATAAATACCGGACCTGACAGTCGCGGTGCATTCGCAAGACAAATGAATATTTATTGCACGCTGCTGTGCTCCCTCGCATTAAGACGCGCATTTTGATAAATATTTCACGTTCGAATGTTAACACGATGATCTACTGCGCCCGGCCGGTTTGTTTCGCACGGAAGAATCAGCTTTAAGGGGTCAGTTCTAAACTCCGGCCATATTATCCATTCATCAACATTACATCAAGCGAACGCGGAATATTCCCCTTGCATTCGTTCCCACAAACATCAACACGACTCCATACATCATAACTTTAAAACCTCAAGCCGTCCCCTGTTCCCTGAACGTGGCTTTTGGCGCCGTTAAACTGGGAAGGGGGGGGGGGCATCTTATTCCTGCGTCTGACAATTTTGCGCTGAATTAAGAAAAGGAAAAGAAGGAAGATCGACGAATCCGAGAGAACGCTCGATGGAAGGGCCGATATCGAGAGACATCGAAAAATCCAAGATCCTCCGCTTCGCTTCCTCGGGCCGATCGGATTGAGAGGAAATTTATCCCTTTTTCCCTGTTCCTTTCATTACCTTGTTTAATCCTCCTCCTAATTAAAGTTTTAAATATCGTACGGACGAAAGATCCGGCTGTAACGAGCTGCTATTTCTAACGAGGCTCTTTCGAAAGCCCGTTCTCCGGACCGGCCGGAATGCAACACTTTCCGAACGTAGGCGGTCGCTGGTGCGACGCGGGATCGATGGCCGAGTAAACAGGGCGAGCGCGCGCCGAGCGGATCGATCCGTCTCATCCCCATATCGATATCGGGCCGCGCATTCGTTAGATTACCCCCGGAGCTGAAAGTCCGGGTCTGACGTAACGAGGCGTGCGAATGCCGTACGGAGCGAGAAAGAGGAGTCGCACAAGTCAGAGCGCATGTCGATGCCTGGAGCGGCAGCCAATGGACTGGCTAAAATATTAAACGGGAGCAAAGACCCTGTTCTCGTACACCACGTAGCAGCGGCGGTTCAATTTCTCTTTCGCTGCCGGCGGGCCGTGCGCCAGTAGAGATAGACAGTCGCGGTAGTCCGGCGCTGCTGGCGACATCCGTAAGCGCGAGCGAGGAAAGAAAGAGGGACGCGCGATCGGTCGGCACGACTTTGATCGGGGATGAGAACAGCCGAGGCACACGACCGGGCTATAAATTTGCGCGAAGCCCGTCGAATTTCCTTAACATTCGTTCCCGATGTAATTCGAACAGCGCGACCGAGCTCGTGTAAACTCGCCCGCTGGATATATTCTCGCCATCGTATCGATTTCCCCCGCGATTGTTACGCGATGTAGTTATTACAGGTGGCGTCGAATTACCTTCTCGGGAGGGAGAGTGCGCGAGTTTAAAACACATACACGGTATGTTTGATTAGATTTGCGTAAAAATGTGTCCGGGGAGTCACCGTCCTTGGAAAATTCCGCGGCTCTCTTCAATATTGGAGTACTCCTCGTCTCGCTTATTCCCGGGCTCCTCCATGTAAATGTATACATTTTACGGAAGCTCCTCGCGAGTCTGACTTTCAGATTAATCTATTTGAATTAAATAATCTCCGAGCGAGCGAAAAAATGCAGAATATTTGTATGTGTAACCGGGCGAGTTGCTTCGGTCCCTCCGTACCGGCCGGACTTTACATCGTGGATCGGAGGAGATCGATTTTCCTTCCTCTCTTCTTTTTCCCCCCTTTTTCACCGTCCCTTTTATTTTCCAGCAGTACCGGATTTACAGCGGTCGAAGCTATCGGCGAGTGAGTTGATGATACGCCGTTGCGTAAGCCCGCTGACGCAACGATCGCACGCGACACGTAAACGCGCGACCTCTCGTCTCTCTACACGATAAACGTTGAAGTTTCAGTAGATCGGTAACTGGAATAATGCTAAATTATTTTTCATTTTACTTCCGGCCTGAGTAACAGCATCGAACTTTACCTTAGTAGCTGTCCTGAAACGACGGTCTTACGTTCACGATGGCTCTCATTTCGCAAGGTAATATGTATCAGCGAATAACTTTCTGATCTCGAGGGTTACTCGAATAATCTCGCTTCCCGATGAGTTTGTTTAAGCATAAAGACGCCATTTCTCTCTCTCTCTCTCTCTCTCTCTTTTCCTCGGTTCGTTAATGAGAACAATATCTGGTAACTTCATTCTACTTTTACTGGCGAATTAAGAGCGGCGGCGGAGGTGTGTTGTATCAAATGGAGCTCCAGGCAATACCGAGCGAAATTAGGAGTTCCATATTCCTCCGGCTAGGAAACGATTCAAGTTAATCACTTTTAGCTGTTCTGAAGTGCTCTGTAAAATGGATTTTCACGATGCATCGTCGATACGACTTCTGAATGTCCATATAATCCCAAACACAATCACACGGCTACCTTTTCGTACTGCATATCAAAACACAGTTCATCTTCTTCCTCTCTCTCTCTCTCTCTCTCTCTCTCTCTCTCTCTCTCTTTCCGAGGATAAAGTGCGTTTAATATAAATAAGGTGATGTCCACTTTAAGAGGTGAACGTTGAAGCATGCCGGAAGGACAAAGAAGAGCAAACGAATACGACGTTACAACGTTCACTTTTTATAAAACGCACAAGCGCTCGCCGTTCATGTGTGGTCAACCGCAAAAAGGTTGTCGCACTTTTTTTTTTGTCGATGAGTTTCAGAACGCACGAGAGTTTCGGGCATTCCGCCTAGTCGTCTGTCCCAATGCAAAAGTTTTGTCGCACGAATCGTCCACTTATACAGGCTGCACAGTTCATTTAACAGGTCACGATTTATGCTGTTTTGCATGTGATCATACCGAAACTACGCGAGTTTGAATAAGAGTATACAATCAATAACGCCATGTCACGATAGCGAAACTCTTGTTTGCAACCGTATATTTTTTTTTCCATTTTTTCCCTCTTTCTGTCTCTCTTTTTTTTTTATATATAAATCTCGCGTGGAAATATTTTTGACGGTTTATATAATTCACTAAACGTTGTATTAGTTTTTGTACACGCAGTAGCGTGTATTGCGTTACCACTCGCGTTTCCCGTACTCGCGATGAAACGTGCGTTCGCGCGTGAGCGAAAATGAATTTAATAGATTCAATTTAATTTCGGGGTGTTTATCAAATTACAGTCATTATTAAACGCTTACGGCTGATGAGAGTGTACGTAAACGCATTACATCACTGTGTCATGAGATGTTTGGGTGCTGCCTGCTGTTAAGCATGACGTTAGGCGATACTATTACATTTACATTAACTACCAGCGTTGCTAACGCCAACACCGCTAATTACAAAATTGACAGTGGAATTTCATGAAATTTTACACGCGGTCGTCCGCTGATGTTCTCTTCCTCGGCTCGCTATTTCGACGTTTCCACGTTGATAGGACGATAATATACCTTCGGTGATCTGGAACGACGCCATTCGGATTGCTCCTGCGAAGGAGAGAGAGATAGAGAGAGAGAGAGAGAGGGAGGGGGAGGGAGGGAGGGAGAGATCGCTGTCTCGACACAGAAACGTGTGTATGGTATTAGCATATATTAGGGAAGATCAATGCAGAGATATATTATTATTATTAACGTAGTAATCCGACATGGATTATATATCATCAACGAGCGTTCACGTCACCGCGATATTCGATTAATGCAAGATACTCATCGTTATTACATCGTGATATTATCAGCCATGATTTCATTAACGAACGAACTGATTCGCAAAGTACGAGGAGACGTGTGTCGCGATAAAGGTTCGTCACATATCGATCGCGAGAAACGAGGGCAAGGCGGAAAGTTCTTGAAATTATCGCCCAACTTAGAAAGTTCCGACCGATCATCGACGCCGGACGAAAATTCCATTTCCATCAAAATAGACCATTTTTTCCTTACCTTCCGCGGATTTACGACGCTTATATATAGCCGCGATATATCATATTCCGCCTTGTCAAGCTAACGTCTTGAACGATCCGCCAGGATTCGAAGATTCGAAGACGGAATGCGCGATGTCCCACATCGTGTCCCACCGGCAAGAAATAACCGTATGACGTGCTTAAAGGGAAGCACCGAAAGCACTTGCTCGGGGAAAGGGTTAACGAGATAAATAAAAACATCCCCGTTGGCGGGAGGAAAAAGGGGGAGGGGAGAGGTGGATAGACGCGTAAAGGTCTAAGGATCGAGCATGGATCTAAATTTACGTTTGCCAGTCGCGCGCACCGAGACTGATCTAACGTCCGACCGACGCAACGACCGAAAGTCGTAGAGGCATGATGCGTTTATACGACCTTTGGTAATTCAAAGTTTATAGGTCATCTCGCGTGTGTCGCGAGGAAAAGGGAGGGAGGGGACGACGAGAGCGGGGAGAGGGAGATAGATGGGGAGCGACGGTGCTTCTCTTTCCGTCGTGCAACAATATCCGGCACGCATACGCGGAAAATCGCGCAAATGCGTTTTATTAAATCCCTCATTCTTCGGCGGTGATGAAATTTTAATTAAAAGCGAGTTCGCGATCGGCACTCGGTTTATCGTAACCCTTTGTACAAGTAACTCACCATCCCCCCCCCCCCCCTCCGACGAGCGCCATCGTACCTAGCCACGGGCTATTACATTATTTAAGGTCGATGATCGCGCGTAAATCCTGAACAGGGTGACCCGCAAATGGGTCACGGCCCGATGATTTCCCGTTGCCGTTGAATTAAAGTGTGACAAAGGATGCGATCGCACCTTCTCGCGTTCAAATCTCCTGGACAGATTTTTTCATTTGCGTGTAACGACCGCGGGGTCGATCGGCTCTCTATTTAACGCGACAAATAATTTACCTCCGGCTTCAATAGCTTCTCGATGCACGACATCTTGCTGTTCATTATTTCCAGCTCTAGATGCTCCTTGCATAACTGCGGGCCAAAAGGCAATCCGGAAGTCGGTGAAGTCGGCCGGCGAGCCGATACGAACGTACAGTCGATAGGGAGAAACGTTTGCGATATTTTTGCCGAGATAAATTTGAGAACTCGCGTCTGATATTTCATAGAAAGATCTATCTTCCAAGAATTATTTTAGCATCGCGAATCTTCCTATTGGATAGGAATGCGTTGCGGGATTCATTGAAAAAGAAATGTTGCAAACTTTCTTCCACTGACCGTATATACTCCCGTATATATATATCGGGTATCTGATAATTACCTCGGGATCCTCCGTGTGTAGGTAGAACGAATTAAACTAAGCGGAAAAGTCGCGCACCATTTTGCAAAATTCGCAATATTCAAGGAGGAATTAATTTATCTGTATGTGAGCTAATGAGCGCACGAAAAGCGATAGGCCAGACTCTGTATAAAAAGAAAAAAATAGCTTGCTTCTGAAGATCTAGCAACAATGCATCAATTGATTTCTAGAAAGAATAAAGTAATGCAGCGATCGGCGAACTGTATGTGACACAGAGCTGCGCGCCGAAAAGAAACACGTCTCTCACTCAGTTGATACTCATCGTTGCTGGGAAATCTTTAGAAATAGGCCATTTTTTTTTTTATGCAAGTCCGGCCTACCATTTCCTGTAGGTTCATTAGCTCATGCAGATTAATTAATTCCTTATCGACTATTGCGAATTTTGCAAAATGACACGCGACTTTTCTGTTCGGTTTCACCCGTTCTACACGGAAAAACAGTTTGGTCGAATTAACCGAAGAGTAGACAACCAAACGCGTTTTGATTGAAGGGAACGGAATTTCTGCTTATAAAAACGCGCTTAGTTGGCTACATATCAATTAATTCAACCAAACTTTTTTTTCCGCGTATTCGCACACTACAGATACGAGGAAAGACACCCTGTACATATATATATATATATATATATTTACCATTTTCTTCGTCTTCTCTTGGAACACGCTCATCCGCTGCAGCTGAAAATCAGAATTATCGTAAAAGTAATAATGCGGTCGCGTATATGGTATTCTCTCTAAACCCTCTCTATTGTAATCCCCCCTCCCCCCACCCGCTTTCACCGGACTTTGAATACGTAACAATAAACTTACATGCTTGTGAATACATTTGTACGGCGGTATGATGCTAACGACGCTCTCCATCCGTGGTAACTTCTATAAATTATGGGTAGTCAGCGTTCTCCCCGGTCTTGCTCACAAAGCGCGGTTCAATATCGCTCTAACTCCCGATCAAACTTCAATCTGGCTGTGATTGCCGAGAGACCGGCGACTTACCTTCTCCGCTTTTTCGAGCAATTCGCGAAAGAGCGTGTCGTTCGACATCACCGTGCGCACACTCTAATACCGGGGATAAAGATTTCATTATTTGAGGGGAATCAAAATAGGGTGTTATTAAAATTTAATTCAACTTTCCTCGTATATTAAACGGACTTTCACGGGGAGGGGGNGGAGGGGGGGGGGGATTCTCATATTTTCGCTACCTGTTTAGTTAATCTCATTGCTAACAACTAATACCCGCTATGCAACTTTAATATCGAGCGTCTTTTTTCAATTCGCCATATCTATGAATAAATCACGATTTTATGCTCGAGAACGGTTGCCGATGACGAAAAAAGCTCAACTGCCTACGAGCGATTTGTTCGGCATTCGAAATAGCGGTTTTCGAGCGTCGTTCTTGCCTGAATAAGGATTAAAGCAGGTATTTCATCGGGCGCGCTCGCACGCGGTGAAAACGATCGAAAATCCCCCGCTCGGGATCGGAGGTGCGGTTTACTCCTTCGCGTTTGTAAGGATTATATTTGTTACAATGGCACGTGCGCGAGAACATCGGTATTCAAGCGACCGCCTCGCAAAGTTGTTTACATTTTCTTTAAGCCGCCGAGAGAGTTCGGCGCTGCAAGGTTTTCGGAACGATACGTGACTTGTATTCTTTCGTCCGGTAACAGTGAGTATTATGTATTTAAACTGGATCGCGAGACTCGCGCGACGAGAAATAACTTGAGTCTATATATACATACACACATACATACATACATACATATATATATATATATATAGACTCGAGATATATATACATATATCAGTAATTTCCCCCGCGATTTCGGCCGCTCATTGTGTCTTGATTAATTACACGCCGAAATAATATTATCGCATTGGATTTAAAGCAAACAGTTAATTATAGAACCGTATTGCCAATGTTTTAATTATCGCACGGAGAATCGTACGGCATCGTATGCAAATTAATTGCCAGAATAATAGGATCACTTGAATTTTCTCCGCCGAGCGAATTATTGACCGAGAGAAACTTTCCAGTTCATCGGCGCGGAGGGAATTAATCAGCGGATAAGTTTCTCCGAGATCTATATAGCTAATAAGTCTAATCCTCTCAGGTATCTTTTATCTATCTATCTTTCGGCTGCTCCCCAGCCGGTCAATTTTATATCCGGACGTTAAGTGGGAATGCAACAATCGCTAACGGAGCGGTAAGGAACGGCTTTCCACTTTCGATTCTACGAACGACCTACTCCGGCACTCAACTCACCACTATCGAACAGACGGCCATAATCACGGCGAAGACGAACGTAACGAACGTCACCGTTCCGCAATAGGCGTTCAAGTTGAAGAATCGTCTGAGATTGTGATCGGTGTTGAGAAACCAGTATATCTGAAATATCGCGAGACGCGCGTGAAAAATCGAGGCTCCCCCGAACTTTCGGCTAACCTGATCGATCTGTGTTTCTGACCAACGAGTCCGAGCCGTGTCCGGATATCCGATAATACTTGTGCAACCTGGTGTCGTCCATTATGAGGACAATACCAGATAATTTGTCAAGGTTGCGCGCGTGATGGAACGAGGGGAGCGGGCGGAACGACGGATTTCGACGGATCAAACGAACAGTTTGACGGGAGATGGAGGTCTTCCATTGGAAATACGCGATCGATCGACGAACAGATGACGGTAAACATCGCGTATCGCTTTGACGTGTATGGTCAAACGACCGATAATTCGACAGTTTTTCGCAGGTATTGGCAGCGACATTATCTTTGCCTGATAATCGGGGACCATTGTCGGGCGCATTAGCGACGGGCAAGCGATTCTTCGAGATCTGAAAATACCGCTCTTTATTTGTACGTGTACTTTCTTTTTTTACGGATCTGAGGAAAATCGCAATGCAAAAATAGATAGGTCAGAGCGATCACCGCGTGCACCGGTATAGTATTCTATAATCAATGTCAAAGTTCTATAATCAATGTCTGTCCTTAACGTGACAAATGAAATTCTTTGGGACACTGTAAAAGTTCAAGCATTACATGTCGCGGAAAGTCATTATTCAATAGTGACTTTGCAATTTTCAACACAACGCATCTCTGTGAATAAAATCGAAAGTAAATTTCTGCAAAAGTGAAATAAAGAGCTGAAATGAATAAAATTGATCGAAGATAGTAATTTTGTTATCCGCTCGGTCGTTCGAAATTTAGTTTGCGAATAGCTCCGTTTTCTTGATTGCTTGTCTCTCGGAAATTATTGATACCCTGATACTTTCGTGTCTGCTATGTTAAGGATACAGGGGAAAGTAATGTATCTTGCGTATTTTTTCGATTTTCTATTATTAGCGAATTAAATAAGACATTTATTTGATTTCTTATAATTGAGTTATTTCGTTATAACTATTCACTCACAAAATATATTTTTTACTAAATACAAAATATGTTTTTTACGTTTAAGGACGTTTGGAAACAAAGTATTACTTTGTCCTGGATTCAACAGAATGAACTTTGGACAATCATAAGTTGTACCTTGGACATATAATTTACATAAAAGATAAACGATTTTAAATGATACAAAAAGAAATTAGCATGGTATAAAAATACTTTGATAACATAAACATTTGTATCATCAAAATCATTATTTTTTATTATTATCTTAACGTTGATGACAGAATAAATATATAACTTGCAAATATTTTTATCATAATAAAAGAATTATTCGAATTATCCGAATTACTATTAGGATAATTATTTTCAAATAGAATAAATTACTATTTATCTCGACGATTAGTTGTAATAATCAAATGAAAAAAGTTAACTCTTTCAGCTCTTAAAATTACTTTACAATAAAAAAGTGCGCGTTTTTCTTTCGTACTCTCTGTGAGTCAGGCAGTTCGAATCTTTTCAAGTTTTACGTTTAATGCAAATGGCAGTACAGCAAACAAACGAAAGTACTCCCTTCCCGAAATCAGATTAATCGATAGAGCGTGAGAAAAAAATGTAAGTAGGAAATTCGCCGGGAGGCCTTCATATTTCACGGGTCATCGTCGTACGTAAAACCCATTGTAAGACCTATCGAGGGACCCGAAGTTTCAGTATAATTAATTTCCGTACACATCCGTCGTCGGGTAATATCGCTCCATCCTCTTGCATTTCTCCGCGTTTCTTCCGCGTTTACGTGAGAGCTACCCCTCCCCTCCCCTCTCGCGTTTTCAACTTCGAGCATAGTTCGTGTCAGCCACGTTCGTTACGTGTCATTAGGATCCCCGTGAAAGGTTTGTTTAGTTTTGCGTGCGCCACCAATATTCTTCCCGCCAAAGTTTCCCCGCTGTAATTTATAATCCGCGCCGCCGGGCCCGCTTTCGCGTGTACATAACACGAAATGTGTTATTGAGTTATAAAAGCGCGACGTTGGACGGGGGTATTATTCATAATTGAACTTTCTATCACCTCGATTTGATCACCTCGAAGAAGCTCGTACTAAAATTGAAACAACGTAGAACGCACGTCGGAATTGTACCCAAGATATATTAATGTAATACCGCAACATTCACGAATTTCGTAAAGCGTTACGGTAAAACTTACAGTTTAATAATGCGCGTGATAAATAAGATTGATTTGTCGTGACACGGTATTTCTCTCTCTCTCTCTCTCTCTTGTTATACTTTCTCGGCTAAAGTATTAAAAAGAATCAAATGAGGATTGTCAGCGACGATGATTATACATGCTCTTTGTCCCAGTGAAACTCTTCACTTGAAAATATACCGACTACACGTGAAACGGAATGGCATATAGATTACAAACCGACAAGACTATTGAGAGCAATCTTGAATAGCATTCGAGGTATAGAATATGGGTGATAGAATAGAATCAACATTTCACATCGAGCACAACGGTAAAAATATAACGTATCGCATCAAACGGTTTTTCCTCAGTGTTCTTTATCGAGCGTGCTAGTTCGTCACTTGCCCGTCAATATTAAGCATGTAAGTTAATTCGGTACTTTCGTTACCAAAGATCAAGATTTATTTCATTATTATCAATGAAAGGCGTACAGAAATAGTGTTCGTATTAAAATAATCTCCGTTACTACTGATGACCTTATACCGTTTATCGGGCAGCTCGAATTCTATCGCAACAGAAAAATTCAGATTTAAAATACTTATTATAAAAATGAGTAAAACTCAAGGCACCGGCTTTATTTGCACACCTGACTTTTTACTGTAGCAGAGAAATTGCAAATTCCTTGTAACCTCGTGTATTCCTCCAACGAGAAGGAATATCGCGAGTGCGCGAAAAAAAAAGATATCAATGATTCGTATTGATACGATTCTATTTTATTTCGTGCCACTTCACCACGCATATCGTTCAGGATCTAGTTCAGGACATATAAAGTTTCTTTCGTGACACAGGAGTTAGCATAAAGCACCGTTATGTTCGATCAAGATAGCTATGTTGGGAAGTACGATCGTCGGGTCGCTTAAAATCTCGCATATTCGCGTTCTCGTTCCACAGGGTTCTCGTAGTTGCTGCGAATTCCAGGGAGGAGAGTGGGCGAAGGGAGAAATCAAGAGAGGCACGCGAAAAAATATGTAATTAAAATCCAACGCTGTGGGTGATGCATCTCGAGCGCGAGCGGGAAAATCAGGGCGAGGAAACGAGAAAATTACCAAGATAGACACAGGGAGGATAGGATAGAGCGGCTGACGGGTCAGAAGAAGACAAGTGCGCGAGAAATAAAAAGAAGCACGCTCACGTGGTGAGAGAAAATGAAAGAAAGAGAGAGAGAGAGAGAGAGAGGTTGGAAAAAATGTGTGTGACAAGCGGTGTGTGCTTTTGTCGAAAAGAGGCAAGCGTCGCCAGACTGAAAGATGACAAACTGAAAGAGCTGGAAGATGCTTACGTGGAGTTCACGCAGGCGAAAGGTGGAGTAGGATAAAGTACGTTGTTCAGTTAATACCATTAACGAACTCGTATCGCTCGATGCTCAAAAGGGCGTAACTCCACAAAATGAAATATTTTCAGGAGATTAAAAAAGAGATAAAATGAAAAAAAATACTTCATTTTAGGATGTATATATATATATATTTTTTTTTTTGAGAACCAAGAGCTTTGCAATTCACAGCGGTGGTATTTTGAAACTGCAACGTATCTTTTTGACACTTTATGTGAACATTTTTACAATAATCTTGTATGTACGCAATTGTCAGTGACACATGAAAACGGCAATTTTTTAGAATTAAGCTTTTTTAATACCGCGCGATGAATCTGGAAACAATCGGAATACCCGCGCCGCGAGTTGAAAGACTGCCGTGCATCTCAAGGCTACATCGTAGGCTCAGCACTTTTCGAATGACAATTTTCACCGAAACGAAAATCTTCGAACAAGCGGCCTTGGCGAGGAAACACGCGATCAGAGAAACCACGTATTGGAAATTCATTCGAGAGAGCGCACCGATATGAACTTACAAACCGTACCGTCTTATTAATAGCGTGCGTGAAAGCTTCGTTCTAAAACGGATGGGCGAACGTTGACACTCGTAAAGTTTATAACCTTCCGAGAGACCCGGCGATCGGAGGAAAAAGGACAACCATGAACGATCGGTATTTTTAAACAAACAACCTACATTCGTATTTATAACGCCACTGACATGCGCTTTGTAACACGCTCGACGTTTGTGGGACGAACCTACGCGAGTATCCGAAGATCGTCGTCCGTCAACGTCGATTAATAAATTTTGCAATCGAGGGCCCGCGCCGCGATCGGACCTGTTGATATCGCGGTGTGTTTAACATCCGTTTCTCCCGCACAAAGAGATGAAGACTTCTCGTTAGATAAGCAGCCGACGGTGTGCAGCGAGTGGAAGACGCGCGCGACGGCGCGACGGTTCAACCCTGGCGAATCCCGGCTCATCTTTAGACGTATACGCGCTCGATCCCGAACGCCTACGACCTCTCAGCCCCTCATTGTTCGATACAGTGATAGAAGCGGCAGCGCGTCGGTTTCACGGCCGACGATGTTCATCCCTCGACCTGGATCGGGACGGAGAAAAAAACCGGGTAATCTCGATCCCGCGGGAGAGGCGCGCGCGCGGTCTCAGCGCGGATTCGCTGCGCAAGATCGATCAAGGGTTATCCGTTCGCAATCCCGCCATGAAGCGAGATTCACTAGCTCCGAGTCGGGGCGGAAAGTAAGTAGAAGACGGCGATGGATTTATAAGCGGGCTGAGCGGATACTTAGAGACCTGATCTGAGCGAGAGAAAGCCCGTGGTGTTCCGCGAATTCATAACTATTTGTTCGCTTTCCTTCTTCCTTCTTCCCTTCGTAAGGGCAAGATGGCCACGTTTGCCGCATGATTGTATTTTGTTTATTACAAAACAAAATATACGACTAACAGGCTGCCTCCTTCACGTTTGTACAGTCAGTCGCAATAATTAGTTGTCCGTGAAGTCGTAACTTCGAAATTCTAAAATATGGGAGCATCCTGGCCCCGGTCTCTCCTAAATTACGATTATCCGCTAGACTCCGCTTCAA